TACAGAAATTCAGTTATGGATAGAGGATGCTGGAGAGCCAAAGGGGCAGACTGCACTGGTTATTAAGCGGTTGTCTTTCAGCTTCACACCCACCCTCCTGTGCTTCCTGTAATCTGCTTTGTCAGGCTGGGCTGGGACCCCACAAAGTTCATTTCTTTATCACCCAGCTTTCTGTTAGGCTCTGCAAATGAGGGATGCAAGAGACAGCAGAAATCCAGAGGAAGGACCAGGACTTGCTCCTTCCTCTTTTGCTTCCTACTGTTGTCAGTATCGCCTCTGCTGTGGTTCTTCACTCTGGCGGTGAGAGTTAGTTCAGTTGTTTTTTCAGTTTCTTCACGTTTCCGGAGCCAGCCTTGTCACGCATGCTCAGAGATGGCAGCACCGGCAGGCTGGAACCCGTTCTTTAGATCTTTAAGCGCCTAAGAGATACCAGGCAGGCAGGGCCGCTTCCCCAGAGAGCCGAGTCTCCCTTCCAAGGGACCCCTCATCCAGTTTTGCACCTTTTGACAGTGCCCGCCCCCTTCTTTGTTCATCTAGCCCTAGTGATGCCGGCTGCTCCGTGCATTTACTATCCCTGTGACGCCTCCACGCCCCCTTTTGCCTTTCAACTTCTCCAATACCTGGTCAGTGATTCTTTTTTGTAGATTCTTTTTGTTTAAAAATTGGTATGGTTTCTGTTCTTATTGGACCCTGTTTGCTACATGGATACCTATACATTTATATAAACAGCTATAACAAAATGTTAATTTTTGAATCCAGAAAATAGTCCTCTGAGTGTTCATTGTACCCCTCTTCCAACTTGTTGGTATGAGACCCGCATAGTAAAGCACTGGGGATAAAGGCCTCCTGAAAATGTGGATAAATATTAGTACCAGGATAAAACGGTTAACCTGATAAAGGATGAGTCTCCAAAATTATAGGTTAGGCTTTCTGTTAGTAGAAGGAAACGATACATAAGACCTGTGATTGTTCCTGAAATCAAGCTGATGCCATCACAAAAAACTCAAAACAAAAAAAAAACCAACAAAAGTCTCCTTTTCTGTTTATATCTATGAAAGGTTCTTTCTACTTATGTCAGGGCCACCAAAATTCCAAAATTAAGCAAATGAAATATGGCCTCTGTGGGGAAAAAAAAAGTTTCTTTAGGAAAAACTTGTCTGTTTTATCTTGTAGGGGAGAAAACTAAGGCTCAGGACACATTAAGTCCTGCTCTCCAGCCTCCACAAGCGTCCAGAATCACATAGTAAAAGGAATGGAGTCAGAACTTTCTCATTAGCCATTCATAATCATGGAATAAGATTGGAAACGAAGCATATGAAGTGGGTCTCTTGGTGGCATGTGATAGGAAGCTGCAAAAGAGGGAATTTGTTAGCTCATAAAACTGAAAAGTAAAAAAGTATGACTGTATTTAGGTGCTGAAGCAGTGTCGTAAGGAATCTGTCTCTTTCCTTGTCTTAGCTTTGCCTCTGCTGGCTTCGCGTCTGGTGGCTTCACCCTCTGGCAGCAAAGCTGATCAATGGAAGCTCCAGACTCCCATCCTGCTAGTTTAGCAAGTATCTTCCCCATTAATCCCAGCAGAAGTCCTGGAGCTGACTCTGATTAGCTGGGGTGGGGGTGGGGGCATGCAGACTGACAGTGGGGTAAGGACAGTTCCTTAAAGAAAAACAAGCGTGCTATTGAAAGAACTGAGTGAATGAATGAATCCGTGCTGAGCAGGCCAAAATAAGGGCTGGCAGGTCGTCAGATCTCTTGATTCCTATATGCTGAGGGCAGTAGAGTTCAACCTGCTAGTCAATAGCTAAGCTAGGACTGGAATCCATTTCTGAATTAGAGTAAGACTTAGAGCAAAGCTGTGAAACAGAAGGGAAATAACCTTAGGTTCTAGGGAGATATTCTCAGAAGATAAAGTACAAAATATGATGACTTTGACAGTTGCCTTATACTGCTGATTATATTAAGGTAGACTTTGAAAGCTTCCAATCTGACTTTTCTAAATGCTTGGCAGATATTAAAGCCAAGCTTACAGTATTTTGATATAATTTAGTGCTAAAAAGACTATACTATAAATATCCAGACCCTATTTTTTTTCAAACTGAGATATAATTCACATCATAGAATTCACCTTTTATAACTGTATGTCTATTTGGTTTTGGTTCCCATTAGATCATGTCTGAAAAGCTGACCTATCTACCTGCTTCAAGTGGCTTTTGGTGGCTTAGGAAAGCAGCCAAGATGTCAAAAATCCACGTGCTCAAGTCAACTTCAGGCAAAAAGCCCTTTATAGCTTCCCTTTCCCACTGTTTCCCAATGATTTCTTGCAGGCTGGTAGTTATTGGCTCCACCAGAGTTGTCACCAATTTTGTGCCAGTAGAGGCTCAAGTGGGGCATTTTTAATTTGAGCTACTAATCTCTTTTCTAGAGATACTTAAAATCAGGCATTTGGCAAAATCTGTAATGAGAGTTGTTTGCTTTCAACCAATCATGCACTGAGAGTGACATCTGCTGGCCATGAAGATTTATGCTGTCTTGACTCCCTTTTGCAATTTATCAATGACCTTAATTATATTGTGAAAATGTAAGAAAGACAATGATCTCTTCCGTGGGAGAAAAAGAAACCAACACATAGAACTTACATGAGCCAGTATATGTACCACTGTGGGAGATTCTTTAAAATAAAAAAAAAATCTAAGTTCCTCTTCTTTTTAGCAGACACTGCAGTCTCTTTCATTTGATCAGGGGAAAAAAATTGTTGTAAAATTTGAAAATGAATTAAAAGTTCAGTTAGCTATTTCCTTTAAAGTGTCCTTTGGTGGTGCAGCCATTGTGGAAAACAGTATGGTGATTCCTTAAAAAAACTAGGAATAGACTTACCATATGACTCAGTAATCGCACTCCTGGGCATATATCCAGAAGGAACCCTAATTCAAAAAGATACCTGCGCCCTAATGTTCACAGCAGCACTATTTACAATAGCCAAGACATGGAAACAACCTAAATGTCCATCAACAGATGACTGGATAAAGAAGTTGTGGTATATTTATACAATGGAATACTATTCAGCCAT